ACCGTGAGCCGGCCCAGCCAATGTAGTGGTGGTTAAAGTGGTTGGATACCACATATCTAACAGCATGATTTCAGTCCTTGCCTGGTGGCTTGAAAAGTAAACTGGGCACATGTGCATGCCTGCTCAAAATCAGGAGAGGAAAAGCAGGTGATGTGGTGGTTAAGGTGTTGGACTCTATATGCCAACCATGGTTCAGGACCTGACAGAGGTTACTTTCTCTCTCTCTCTCTCTCCCTCTCCCACTCCCTCTCCCTCTCTGTCTCTCTCTGGTGAGCTCATGTGCCCTGTAGCAAATTGAAAGTTAATAATAATGATAAATAAAATTAAATAAATCTTTGAGAGTAAAATCAGAGAAGAGAATGGAGAAGGGATTTCAGTGTGGCCATCCTCTCTGGAGAGTGTGCTTTCTCACTTTCTCTGTATCTGGTGAGTGTACAAGCCCTACAGCAACTTTTTTTTCTTTCTTTTTTTGTTTTGTTTGTTTGTTGTTTTGAGAGCATTTTGAGACCAGGAGATGGTGTGGTATTTAATGCACTGACTTCAACATGGCCAAATGTGGTTTAGTCCTATCAGGCAGCTTGAAAATTTTACCGGGCATATGTGCATGGTGTCCAAAATCCTGAGAGGAAAATGGAGAAAGGATTATGGTGTGACCATCTCTTCAAGGGGTGATTTCTCACTTTCTGTCTCTCTGGCAAGCATACATGCCCTATGGCAAAATCAAAAACAAAAACATTTCCCTTGCCTTTTGGATCAAGCAATATGACAGCTTAAACCAACATAGTCCCCATCCTACTCTAACACAAAGAAACATTAGATAGAATAAAAGCACAACAAAAGCACAGAAAACAGAAATATATAACTGAGTTTAAAAAGGAAAAAGAAGAGAAAAGGGAGAATTTTTTTTTTGTCTTTTTATTTTTGAACTCAGTTCATTTTTCTTGTTTTGGTGCTAAAAATAAAAATAAAGCCAAAGGTGATGCTGTAGCAACGGAAGGGTGATTTTGTTATATGAAGGTCCAACAACTAGGGGATTTTAATATTCATCTGGATTCAATAAATAGTCATGAACTCATTTGATACATGTAGCTACAACTGAGAATATGTTTGCTTTTAGTTTGTTTTTGCTTTTTTCTTTTTTAGTTTAGCACTATTTATTAAGTGATCTCAGCTGTTGTTGGAGCTGCTGCTTGTCAGCCTGTTCTTAAAACATAATGCTCTTCCACTTCCTCTTGTCCAGGACACAAGCATCTTCCAGGTGGCACAACAGAACAAGAGACTCCAATGATGCCAGCTTCAATGACGGTGCCATCCAGAGAGGAAGAGGGTCATGGCACATTCAACTGCAGTTTCCAGAGGGTTTGAAAAAGGAGCCTTTGGGGGCCCAGCCTGCCTGGCATTTTGATGCTGTCGGTGTGAGTTTTATATTCCATAATGGTGTTGGGAGGTAGGTTAAGCACTTGCTGCAGTGTATCCCGGATTCGGGCTGTGGTAGCTTGGTCACTGGCAGTCTTATTCCAGATGTAAAACTCTTGAAAGCGCACAAAGACCACAGCCCCACAGATCTCTTCCCCAACCATGAACTGTTCCCCCAACATGGCCAGGATGAGATTCTCCCAGCAAGGGGAGGCCAAGCCCTTCCACAGCTGAATAATCCACTTGCCACCATTTTTATTTGCATCATCCTCCCACATGGGTTTAATTCCTTCTTTGAAGAGATGGAAGTCACTGTGGCCTGTCAGGTCCCCAGGACAAACCATGTGGCTATAAAACCTCCAGAACTGCTCCACAGAGGCGAAGGTGATAATCTGTTTAATATTCTGTTCATAGCTCTGTGAACTCGTGGGATGGCTGGGGGTCCTCCTGGAGTACCAGAAAGTGTAGTTGTACTGCAGGGGATGCTCTGCTGGTCCAGGGATGACAGCCTTCCTCTTGCTGCTGCCCTGACTCTTGTCCCGTTCCACTTTTTCCTTCTCACCATCTTTCTGTGTGCTGTTTTCTTCATTCTGATCATGGTCCCCACTGTAATAGTCTTTCAAGGCGTCGAACTTGTTGTTCATCCTCTCACCTCTGCTGTGACTCTTAGTTTGATTTTTTATTTTTTAATTTATTTTTATTTTTTTATTAAAGAGAAATAGGAAGATCTGACAGGTTTTAATCAACCATGATCCTCTTCCCACCCCCTGTCTTCCAGTCATTTAGGAAAATATTAAAGAGGCAAAAAATAAAAACCACCAGGTAGTAATACACAGACTAATTAATGAATACATTATTAATCATTGAGATTATATTGAGACAATTGATTATTTCATATTTATAAGAAGAATCATTATTACATTTTTACTAACAAGCTCATTAGGGATATAAGAAAAATTAAGAATAGTGTCAGTTAAAATAAAATGAGTGAACTTCACAAAGAATGGAAGTGCAAAATTAAATATAAAACTCATCTCTAGCTGAATCTGTGTTCACCTTATTAATTCCATTTACCTCTGGTAATTTTAAAGTCAATTTGTATAACCTTACAGAAAAAAGTCATTTGAGAAGCAGGCCTAAATAATATTTGTATTTACTATTTATCATTTCCTTTTCTTCTACAATTCTCTATTTTTCTATTTTTTAGATAAAAAATATGATAGATATTCTCTGGCCTTTTTCAATTTTTCAAAGTCTCTAAAAATGAGAGAAATAAATGCCATTTGTTTCTGCAAATCTGAAGCTATTTCATAAGGATGGCCCTTGTATATTTTCACAGTTTGGTCTTTCTGATTTGGAAAGTTGCAAAAAACTTTCAGGTTGTGAATATTGCAAGTGCATTGGCACACATTATTTATACATTTTAGCAGTATATAGATAGATAGATAGATAGATAGATAGATAGATCCAAGTTTTACCTTATAGAGAATTACTTGTACATTCTCAATTGATGTCAAACACCAGATTTTTTTAAAAAATCGACTTAAACTCTAGCCTTGTAGCTGCTAAATTTATCATTGTGTCCCATCACCATCAGTACTTAGATGTTTGCAAAACAGTAAGTTTGAAATGATAAGCTTTTTAAAAAGTTATCTATGAAGAAATAATTATCTCTATTTTAAAAATTGTCTTTAAAATACAGCAACCCATCAGTGTTTTCACTTTATTTGTCATTTGTGGATAGGGACTTTGGTATTTAGGTATAATAATGGATAAAACTTTTAAAAAAGATAATGATAATCACAAACAACCAGGAAAGTGAAGCATTGTTTTAGGCTTCAGCTTGTATTATCCTCAGACTGCCTTCTGGGCATTTCAGTTCTTCCATGTAGGACTGAAAATTGCTTTCAATATCAAACTAGTATTATGTTCACAAATTATTAATATTTCTCCACAATTTCTTACTGCCATTCATAAAAATTGTTAAAATTTTGAGTCTCTAGTTAATGACATCACTGAATTTTTTGGTAAAACTGGAATATCATGATTATCTTCATTTTAATAATTGAGAAACTAAGGCTCCAAAATGCTAAATTATTTATATGAGGTCATAGTGTTTACAGATGAGTACCTTATCCAAAACAAAACAAAACAAAAACAAAAACAAAAACAAAAACAAAAAAAAGAATTAGGTATTTGGATTCTAGACCTTCTCATGTAGGGCTTTTGGACAAGTCATTCATTCTTTCTGGGCTTTTTCCAATTATCTATAAAATAAAGTTCTGGTCTTTAAATCTTTTATGCTTTATTCAAACCCTAAAATATCAAGAAGGCTTTTAAAGAGTCATATAAAAAGTGAAAAATGCAGTCATCTGAAAATAGTTAGCCAACTTATTTTTGACAAAGAATACTAGTCAATCCAGTGGGAAAAGGAAAACCTCTTTAGCAAAAGGTGCTGGAAAAAGTGGGTATCCACCTGCAGAAAGATGAATCTGAACCTCTATCTGTCACCATTAACAAAAATCAACTCAAAGTGAATAAAAAATATAAACCTAAGACCCCAAACTATAAAACTACTGGTGGAAAACACTTGGAAAACTCTGGGAGACATTGAGGTAGACAAAGACTTCTTAAGAAAGACCCCCAAAGCACAGGCGATAATCCCCAAAATAGACAGGTGGGATTACATCATATTGAGAAGTTTCTGCACAGAAAAGAGCACAGTAATTAGTGTGAATCAACAACCCTGGGAACGGGAAAAATTTGTTAACTATGCCTCAGATCAGGGACTGATAACCAGAATACACAGGGAACTCAAGCAGCTTACCCAGAAGAAAACGATTAACCCAATTGAGAGATGGAAAAATGAGCTGAACAAACAACTCTCTAAGAAAGACATACGAACATTCAAAAAGCATGTGAAAAAATGCTCAACATCCTTCATAATAAGGGAAATGCAGATCAAAACCACAATAACATACCATCTAAGCCCAGTCAGAATGGTGAAGATTGCAAAGAAAAAAATGATAAGTGCTGGCAGGGTTGTGGTGAGAGAGGAACTCTTCTACACCGTTGGTGGAAATGTAAATTGATGGTCCAGCCACTTTGGAAAACATTATGGAGATTTCTCAAAGACATTCAAATAGAACTACTATATGATTCAGCAATTCTACTCCTGGGTATCAACCCAAAGGACAGGAGAATGTTCAATCAGAAAAGTGCTTGTACAACTATATTTATTGCAGTATTATTCACAATTGCTAAGACATGGAAACAACCCAAATGTCCACAAACAGATGAATGGATTGGAAAAGTGTGGCACATATAGTGCATGGACTACTGTTCAGCTATTAAAGAAATAAATAAAAATTAAAAAAAAAACAATACCATGGCATTTGATAAAAAATGAATGAACATGAAAGCTTTATAGCTGAGTGAAACAAGTCAGGCTATGAAACAGACATTGTATGTCTCCACTTAATATATACTGTCTACACTATGGTAGAGACTGGGAGACATAAAAGCACTGAAAATTGTTATGGACACTGGAGACAAAGTGAAAAGAGAGTGGAGAGGGGGATAGTGCAGGAAGAGAAGTTTGGGAAAACAACAGAGAAGTAAGACATTTTTGTGGGATACGGATATGATTTATTACCTGTTAATGATGTTGTGTATAGTATTCTCAACTCGTCTGCCACATTGCATATATCATGTTACAATCTAAATGATATATAATGATTGAATGTATAAATAATAATAAAAAGTAAAAAAAAAATGGAGTTAGGATAAGATAGGTGAGAGGAGCACATAGAGGTTGAAAGAGCCCTTTATTATTATTCCTCGTATTTTTACAAATTGTCTTAATTTCATGCAACTTTATGTATTTTTCTAAAGGTTATTTATTAAAAGTATTACTAGGCATGGACTTTAGAATAATTATATAAAACTGTTCATGCTTTTTAGATTTGGAAACTGAAACATTTTCTGTCAAATCATTAGTTACAATGTTGGCATCAGGAAACATGATGTCCATAACCAGCTGCGTGTAACGTTGTCCTGTGTGAAGGTGACAGTAAAAAGATATATAAACTCTGTAGAGTTTCATGTTGAGTGTCTCCAATTCTATGTATTACCTGTAGATTTGTTCAAGTAAGAAAATTCACAAAGCTGAGTATGTCAAATATCAAACTGGATGAGTAGCAGAATACTCAGAGAGCAGGGTCTCTAAATAATGTGACAACCTTTTAACATGGGAAGCTATAAATACTTCACTTAGAAGAATAAGAATAATGACTACAGAATAACACCTTGAATATCAGACTTCCTTAGATACATGAGTTCCAACTTTAATGTTCTCATGCATTGTGATCTTTGTAAAAATAAGGATTGTAAAGAAGAAGGCAATAGTAAATACAATATATAGTATATTTATTATAATATATAATATTACAAATATTTAAGTATTTATAAAACATAAATAAAAGTATTAAGTAAAAATAAATATAAATAAAATATAAAAAAATCTATACTAAATGAAAAGAACCGTAGATGATAGATACCGAAAAATACACTAAGAGAATGATGAGCTGAACTGAGCAAGTGGATCAAGTAACACATTAGTTTAAACTTTCCTTTTTTTTTTCCTTTTCTCTTTCAGTTTCTTCAGGAGCACGTGCTTGCTAGAAAAAGACCGAGAAATAGAGATAAAGTAAGAAATCTACCTGCAATCTTTTCTCCTACATTCTCCTCTCAGGGTTTTGGACACGTACGTACATGCATCCAGTGTGTTTTTCAATTCACGGGATCCAGGACTCAAATTGCTCAGTTAGTCTTGTGGGGTCTAGCTGCCCTACACATCCCACACCAGCAGCCAGTCCTAAACTTTCACATTTGATATACTATTTCCAATATTATAATTTCCTTTCTAGAGAATGACAAAATACAGACAATACATGTAACAAAATATCCCATAATGTGTATATATAGATGTATATGTGTGCACATCTTTTTTTTTTTTTTTTTGAGAGAGATTTTTGCTATAGGGCACATGCGCTCACCAGAAAGACAGAGAGAGACAGAGAGACAGAAAGCAAGAAGTCACCCCTCAGGGGAATGGCCACACTGCAACCCCTTCTCCTCCATTCATGCACATGGAGTGAGTTTAAGCTGACAGGTCCAGGACTCAAACTGTGGTCAACTATGTGGGAGTCCAGTGACGTGGCCATTAAGCCATCGGCTGGTCCCTATGCACATCTTATACTTGGTTATCTTATAAATTTTATCCTGTAGAGAAAAATCCAAGAGCAATAGAAATCCCATTAAGTAACTGGCCAGCATTAATAATCAGATTTATACAATGTTGGGTAAGTTGTTTGTAATCTGTGTGCCTCAGCTTCTCTAGATGTAAAATGGACTAACAATAATTCCTTCCCCATAGATAGGACCATTTTGCAAATTAAATATGTTCGTATCAGTAAAGCAGTCTCAGATAATAGTAAGCTCTAAATAAATAGTAAGTGTAATTTGCATGATATTCTCATCATCGTTGTCATCAGTGTCATCTTCTTTTATTTTTGAGAATAAGACAAGACATGCTCCATTGAATGTACATAGTCAACTAAATTGGGACGTTGACCTGGGTAACACTA